GACAAGTCTGATTATAAAGGTAGTCACAGTGAATGTATATGTTTCTTTTTTATTATACAAAACAATTAACGTACAGAAAATACAAAAAAAAAATCCAGTGATTGGTAAAATAGGAAAATTGTTATAGAAATTATTATTCAAATGTTTTTGAAAAGATACTTAAAAAACTGGCGTCTGCTTGCGGCTTCGCTAGCGTTCAAGTGGGATAAAAAGTGGCTTATGTGTTATTAGATCATATTCTATACCAGTTACAAATGTCACCCCGATCCTTTCAGCTATTTTGACATGATTGAGTAACAATTTAACATACATACACACAAACTTTCACTTTCATAATATTAGTGAGATTTTGAGTAAGAGTTGTGTATATATATTATGTTGAAGTGTATATTTTTATTTATGTTGTTTATACACTATAGTTTTATAAAATATGTACCTATGTTAGCTTAATTAATACTCATTTTGCATTATAGCTTTAACACCTACCATGTCATATCTTTGTACCACCCTAAGGTAGACTGGCAGAGATTGCGCTAGGCATCAAGTACGCCTTGTGCTGCTATATTGTGCAAAATATTAAATATATGCCTATAGACAAATAAATATTCTGATTATGATCTGATCAGAATTTTGATTCTAATTCTGATTCTGATTTTGATTCTGATTCTGATTCTTATTTTGATTCTGATTCTGATTTTGATTATGCTTCTGATTGTGATTCTGATTTTATTATGTTAAAATTTAATTAACAGCAATTTAAAGCAACAGAAATTTCATTCGGTTACATTTAAAATTACTATCAATTATGAAATACAATTATTAAAACACATTTCCTTCCAAATTATTACATAAACGTAACAAAAGGACTACAACAAACACAATAAATATTACATTGTAAAATAAAACAAAGTTATTTAAATATTTTAATTAACATTGTAACGTGGTTGTTTGTGCACTTAATTGCAATTTTCGTTTGTATATGCAGTTATAGGTTTATTTATTGTTTCATCAGTGAATGGGGAATGATATTCATTATTTATTTAGGCCACTAACTGCGATACTCAGAGATATTTAGTACTTAAACTATTCAAATTCAAATTTTATTGACTTATATCATGTGTACAATAGGTGTTGCATAATGGGGTACAGTTTCAGCGTGAAACCCGCTTAGGGCACGACAACATATAGAGCAAAATATAATCTAATTAAATTACTCATAATATTATCACATAAATAAGTTATGATATTCATTTTAAATAATTAATTTTTTTCCTTAAATTCATTACAATGTTTATTTATATTTATGTTAACTGTATGTAGTTTATTCCTTATATTCCATAGTAGTCATTTTGTTCCGAAAACAATTGCTAAGGACTGAGTTACGTAGAACGACTCTGAGTACGGCGGTAAGGAAACAAGTTATTGTACGTATCTTTATTAAAAGTAGATATTGTTATTGAGAATTCTGGTTAGTGACTTATAGAGATATTAGAGTATTAGAGTTTGTAAAATTTTGATTTTGATTTTGACTTTGACTTTGATAGATCAGTTATGGCGCATAACATTTAAAGTTTTACGAAATGACTCCATTATAATATTAACTGAATTGTTTTAGAAAGTTATTTTTAAAATGGTTTGTGGAAAATAGCTCTAATATATGATGATGATGATGGTAAGCGATCGGCACCGCTAATGAACACCTACAACACCAGAGGAGTCACAGGTGTGTTGCCAGCCTTCTAAAAAGGAATACTCTCTCTTCTTGAATGTTTGATAGGTTCGAAAAACGACGACAGATCATTCCACAGTTTTGCTGTGCGAGGCAGAAAGCTACGAGAGAAACGCATATTTGAGGCCTACCAACTATCTATATATATATATATCTCCATGGACTAATAAAACCTGTTTTGGTAAGAAAAGTTTAGCGTATGGTTTTATGTATACGAAAACGTTTATTTGAGATTTCTGTCTAGATTTTCAAAGAAGCCTTTATTTCAATTAAATCCATATCTACCAAATTAACTTCTCAGTAACTAACACTACTACAACACCTACATCTAAGTGTTATCAAAGCAAGATGTACTCAAGCACATTAACCCCAAACCCAATGACCGACGCCCCGTACATAATTTCGAAACCGATTTATTGAACTTCAAAATCGGAAGCATAATCGATGAGCCGCTAAACGAGCGATCTCGACTTTCTCTACAGACAATATACTTGTAGCACTTAACTGACCCAATTCCTAAAGGTTATATCTTGTCCTAATTCCAGCGTCGACTAAAACGCTGGTTTCGGAGGCATTTCAAAGCTGAATATCAAAATAGCTGTTTGATTTTAGATTTTAGTTGGGAACTGTAAATAACTGAATGTTAGGTGGAGTTGTGGTTTTATTACTGGATTATAGGTAATACAATGTAGGTATAATTTTTGTCATATAGTTATGTATAGAATGTGATTGACCTATTTGCTAAAATTATGACATTGTTCATTTGAAAAGAAACTTCTTCTTTAGTGTAAAGTTTAGAATTTGTGAGTAATCAGAGACAAGAGTTAAAAAGAGTTTGTGTTAGGCTAAGAAACTACACAAAAAAGACATATTTTGTTGCATCCAAACAACCTGGGATAAGGGCAATATCCTATAATAGAAGGGTCACATTATGTAATGTAATAAGAAAATCACCAGGAAATTGCTCTTAAGATAGTATAAACACCTATTGAGTAAACACAACCCACTTTTACTACGTACTCTTCTACTCATACCAATATGGATTAAAATTATATGCCTGTCATGTAATGGGTTTTGAGATGAAATGTATTGTAAGGAAATTATTTTCTGTATAATACATATCCAAAGAAATATTAATACCATTGATTACTTCTTTCTTTCTTCTTAGTTCTAGGACCGATTTATCTACCGCCAGATAAATTTTAACTGAGAAATAACTTTGATCATTTTACAATTCTTCCATATTAAAAACGGTCAAATGTCAATTTCATTCTACAGTTAAAATTTATTTAACTGATGATTGAAATATCGGTCCTTTACCACTTGAAAGATATAGAAATAAATATTGCAAAAAAAAAATGTTTATGTGAATCACATTTTACTAAAACTAATACTCATAAGCATCATAAACTGATAAGCGGAAAAGAAAATCAAAACTGAAAGAATAACAATATCGCATCGTCCAATGCACTTATTAGTTTGGTTATACCTAATAAATACAAAAACGACCTATACTTGTTTGACGACAAAGCTAAACAATTACAAAAATCATTACTATAGAAATAGAATGTTCAGTTTGCTGAAAATAATAAAGGTCACATCATCACAGAACTTTGTACACAGAAAATTGAGGTTAAGTCACTGAAAAATGCATTTAAATACACCGAATTTAAAGTAACATTTTCCACGTATTTCTGTGTATAAAATCACATATTTTTCGGTCGTCGCCCGTGTTCTTTTCGTTCGCTATCCTACCGCCATCTTTGGACGAATCTTAGAAACATTTTTGGAGAGCCGTGAAGTTAGCTCCTTTATAATAATGATTAGGACTATTACAGGTATATAGATATATATAGCGCGTTACTGTTATATGAAATATATGTTTTGTTGATAGAATATTCTAGATTGGAATCTTTCAATGCATTTTGTAACAGGTTATTGTTTCTTCATCTGTCAAAATATGTTCATTGATCCATTCTGTCCGAACACATTAAGTTATGAAGCTCCATCACCTCATTAGGTAATAATGCTCAAACGTTTACTTCGTTTTATTCAGCCAACAATTTTATTAAAATGATGAATAAAACATCCATGTCCTTGTATGTATAAAACTATGCCACCCATGATAACTACTTTAGTGAATTACATAAAGGAGGGATGGTGTTTATAATTAAATTAATTGGCCGTAGAATGGCTGAATAATTACTACAGCGATAGCACAACATACACGCAGTCCTTGCGAACACAACATTACGTATCAACGGGGACAATATTGTAAATACAAATAGACCTCGTCCAGGCTTGTTTCGAAACATCTAAGTTATTGGCTTAGGGTGATAAAAACACCTACGCGGTATTTCTCGTGAAAATGGCACGGCACGAAGCCTTACAATCTATCACTCACCAGAGTTAGGGGCATGGGCGCGGCGCGACTCAGCACCCACCGCACTCCTTTAACTAAATGAATCCACGACTATTTATGTACTGCTTCAATTCTCGCCATTTTCTCAATATATCCACCGAACATTAGCTAAAGACTCAAGAAGATGGTCGCCCCCGCCGCCGTCGTTGTTGCTAGGTGCAGATCAATTGCCAACCGTTGTAGGTTACATGAATGAAACCTACACATTTTCGGTGCGTCATAGCTATCATATCGCTCGTACCCGACGCGGACCTTCAGATACGCGGCGATTGTACTAAAGTTACAGAATATTTTGTAAACGTCTTCAAAATTCAGTCAATTTAACGTGAACGTCTAGTTTTGGATTTGGCACGTAAGAGGGGCGGAGGGTTAGTGTAGAGCCTGACGTGTCAGTGTCGTGTGTCGAGCGAGTGGTAGACGGCGGTGGCGGAAGGTCGGGGAAGCCGGGCCGTCGGCTGGGGCGCGAGCCCGGGCTCCGCTGACGTCAGCGACGGCTCGGCGCCGAGCGGCGGTGCTCACCACCGGCCTGCCAATTATTATTTTATGTACACGAACGGCGCGAAACAAAAGGCGGCGACGGCGACGGCGGGGCGCGGGCGGAGAGCGCTCGCCGCAGGAGCGACTCCCGGCGCCATCTAGCGAGGCGCGAGGCGACCACTCGCGCCTACTCCTTTCGGTCTGCGGACGATCGAATTGAGACGAAACCTTTGCGCTGACCGACCCTCACTGGCTAACTGGACTCGGGTAACACTGTCACTGATCGAGGGTAGCGTAGAGCGAGGATGGGGGAAGAGATCCCGCTGCGGGTTTGGGGGTCACGTTTGTCAAAATACGTTCACTGATGCGTACCGTCGTCAGAGCGTGGCTGCGTGTGATGGTGGCGGTCGGGTGGGCCATGCTGTCAGGCGGCGCGGGATAGGCGCGGGCCGGGCATGGCGGGCTCCTGCTCGACACTGCGGTGCGGGCGTCCGCGGCGCGCGCTGCACGCCACTGACCCGCGCACCGCCCGCGCCCGCCGCCGCCGCCGCCGCTGCGCGCGCACACCCGCACCGCCGGCGGCCGCACCGCGCCGACCGAGCCTTCGGCCTCCGGCCTGCAGCCGCGTGCACCGGCACCACACCGCACACCGCCCACGCAACACAACACACGCTACCTATCGATTGTACACTTGGATTCTGCACCTTACGAAAGGTCGTCACTGTGCACTCTCACCCGGAGCCAGATTGACAAGTGTAAATAAACTCGACACGCAGTCTGATTGACGTAACGAAGCCGCTCTCCATTATACGCGCCGTTGGCTTGTCATAGTTCTGTTAGTATTGGAGTATGTGTCACTATATCACTGTTCAGTTTTGATCCCATTGAGTGATTCAGTGGTTAAAGAATATAACTTGATTTAATATTACTATTTACATATACATAGGTAGATGTTGGTATGTGAGGTGGTTCGCTTGCAGCGAGACACCTCGTCGCCGCGTCGTCAAATTTTTACGACTTCGCTCGAGTGTGCCAACCCAAACAGATTCTATCTGGCACAATACGATGCAGGATATCCTTCCTCCTGCTACCTAACACCTCATCATCTTATATGTATACAACACCTACGGAGGATCTCGGCTCGGTTATCTTATCAAACTTGGAGCTTTGCTTAACTTTAACCCATTAGGGAACTTGTGCTGCTATGAATTTAATACAAAACAGTTTCAGCGTTAAGTATTTATTGAAGGATCTGAGTATGACATTTGCAGACAACGTATTTGTATGATTATCGGTTAAAATACCTCAAAGTACTACCAACAGTATAATATGCAGAAGAATATTTTCTCTACCTATTATACCGTAAGTACCCCACTTTCTATCCTACCGGGAATCAGATCGAATGTCAATTTTATTCAAGACATTACAACTAAAGCGAATCTCTAGGTAAAGCTGATTCATTTTACCTAAAGACTGCAAGTAAGTCTTCTGCGAAAATCTAAAGGTTACTTGTTCACAGATAGAAAAGCTATCAGGTTTGATATCTAACAATCTTTGTCAAGCTGCTTACAAGTGGGTTCAGTTCCTAAAAACATGGTGGTATTACGAGTTTGTTTATTTTTCGTAGCCCAAAATATTTTTTATTCTTACATTTTGTAATTCCAATTAACTCCTCTGTTTATTGCTGTATAATAAATCTATCGAATCTACTGTTATTAGAAATATTATGTTTATTTGAAACGACAGTTATACATATAAAAAATTCAAAAAAGTCCTTCAGTCGAAAAAAAATGTTAGGTTCTTAGATTTTGTAACCCCAGAAACACTACTGTTTCTGAGAAAGTTTGTATGAATATATATATTATACATACATATACATATATTAAGTGCACCTTACCACCAAATGATACTCCATATTTAAAGCCAAGTGCGTCCTTAATATATACACTCGACGTCACTACATCATGTTAACCTAAGATATCGAAATTACATCGGAGTTCGAGTAAATCTGATTCACTTTGATGGAAGATTGCAAGTAAGTCTTCTAAGAAATTTGAAGGTGTTTACTTGTTCTAAGAAAGAAAAGCCATTATGTTTGACATTTGTCAAGGTCTTATCACTCGTCTGACCACCTACTGTAAACATTACTATGCGTCATTAATTTAGAACTTTGTTATGTAGGTAACTAGGTTCTGTTATGTATGATGAGTGTACTGGGTTAGCAGTAGAAAGCAGTATTGGTCAATAAAGCAAGAAATTGATAAATGCAGATGAAGCAAAATTATTATTTAGTGTTGATTTGTCTTTGCCTAACCATATCATTATATGGTGTCACGATAGTAGAAGTATGTATAAGTAATAATACTGTTTTTATTTAAAAAAAATTACCTCACTTTGTCACCTATACCTACGATACATTATTAGCTCAAAGATACAATTTAGTAACAAACGTCACTAATAGATAATGCACCAAAAAGCTACCGTTTATTATGTACGTTTTGAGCCCAAGTTATCAAAGTTAGTTGACATTGTTTGCACCGTGTTTCAAACACGGTGCACGTGGTGGCCCGATATCTCATCTCGCGTCAAACTACACAGTGTCTGTTGCTACAATGTAAAGTAAATTCTACAAAAAATTGTTTACAAGCCTTATCCATACAGTTTATATTAATATTTTCCAATGCTCGTAAGTTTTATAAATTTTATGTACGGGATTAAGTGTCTTCTAATATACATAAATATTAAAAAAGTGGTGGTTGCTAGAAAATAATTATTCCGTAGTACAGAGAGAGTACAGTTTACAGAGGTAACTATGCTACGAGCCCGGGAACTCATCATAATCTGTGTACTAATACCTGATACGAACGCATAACGGCTTTGTTTGATAGTAAAGGACTATGGACTAGAAATAACGACTACGCAATATAAGCTTCTATGCTACGAACTACGGGCTACGAGAATCGCTTTGCTACGAAGGAAATACTTCGTCCTGTGCTACGAACAAATTACTTCGCACTACATGTTCTTGTATACAGACTATGTACAGCCTTGTGCTACGCTACGCATTGCCATCTCAGTTCCATTAAACTAATAAGTCTAGACAAACACCTTTACGAAGTAGCAAGTATGGGCGACTGCCCCTGCTGTACTACGAGCTAATAACTATGCGCTACGATTTTCTGTGCTACGACATAATTACTACGCGGTACATCTCCTAGTGCTACGAACTACGAGACTATGCTCTACGACCCCAGTGTCATGAATTCCGAACTGTATGCTACACTACATAATCCTTGCTGTGTTACGAGCCAACAATCACGGGCTACGACTTTCTGTGCTACATAGCTATTCGGTACGTCTTCTTGTGTTACGAACTACGGTGTGCGCTACAACCATAGTGTTACGAAGAAAGAACTATGCATTATTGCCTATACGATAAGAGCTAATAATTACGTGTACTTGAAATTGTAGGGGTCTAAAGGTACTCACGAGACAGAAATATAAAAGTAAAATAATAAAATTCTTGTGTAGGGCAACGAACTATGCACTTTGTCTTTCTGTGCTACGAATTAATTGCTACGTGCTACGGGCTCCTGTGCTACGAACTATACATGCAATATATATTTTATATTACTAAACTAATAACAAACTCCTGTGCTACGAAATATAAGTTATTATTATCTTGTGTGTTCTTGTCTTATTATGCAAAATAAAACATTCGTTGTTGAAACTTATAAATAAATAATTCTATCGCTGCATTTCATATAAACTTCTCTTCTAATGTGTCGAGAAAACATTTTCCGAGTCACATAGTAACCTATTTTTGCTGAAAAGGATACGCACGAGGAACATTATAAATTATGCTTCTCATTTGTTCTCAGTTTTCATTTGAAACACGGTTTTAAATTAAGTATCTCGAAGCGATGTTGTGAATCAAAATTTTAAGCTAAATTTCAAAAAAAGAATGGTAGAGATGTTTGACTAAATAACGTTGGTTATCATAGAGTTTACTTAAAAAAGTTCAAGTAACATTAATAACTGAATTTTAATACTTACTTATTTGAAAAAAATGATGGTGGAAGCAGTTTTCTATTAAAGTTGGTATCATGATAATATAAGAGAATATTATTTTTTAAACAGCTCACCGCCTGTTTTTTCAGGTGAATACAGAACCTATGAAAAATGGACGTTACTTTTATTTTAGCATCTTTAAGCAAACAAAACGATGTCCACAAGCATTTAATTTTAAACAATCTTAATAATTAACTAAAAAGTACGAGTCACTCACGTTAATATACAGAGAAAAGCTCTACTAGTTTCGAGTCACAGAAAGACTCTTCCTTATGAGTTTCCTACTAGCGTGAGTAAATCGTTTACTAAGACTTCGTCACTAAACTAATTTTTAGTCAATTCAGCATGTCTCATGATAGTTATTATAAAAGCCACAATTATCTTTAACAAAGTATTAGAACACTGCTAGCCGTCACCTAGTTTACTGTGCATGCGATATAATGCGCGAACGAAGCATTGCAACAATCGCTACTTTTAAGGCTTCAGCTAATAGGTATAAATTGCCAGCATCTGACCTGGTATGCAAGTATTATCTATCGTTTGAAACTTGAAGATCAGTATTTCGCAATAGTTTTCGTAAATATATTAAACTAATTAAAAAAGTCACAGTCACCGTTAAAGTCAAAGTCAAAGTCAAAATCATTTATTTCAATTAGGCCAGAATGGCACTTTTGAACGTCAACAAAAACAAAAATTTAAAGTGAAGCTATTTGCTCATTCCAAGGCGTAGATTCCTATGGAGAAGAACGAGCAAGAAACTCCATAGGTTTTTTTTTTCTTTTTTTTTTTAAAACGTTGCCCCACATTAGGATTTTTTTTATTTCTTTTTTTTTATTAGGTTACTCTTTTTCAATCAGGTTCACAATACAATTTACTAGTTACATAGTTTTGCTGTTTGGATTGTGCGAGAACAATGTAACACTAAAATCCAGTCAAAGTGATCGAAAAAGAAAATAACCTTAAGGACAGTAATACGTCAGTAATTGCTTTAGTATTATTGGTATTCCATCTATTGTTATTTTACACATTTTCAGCCTGTGGGATGTGAGTACTCCTATAGAATATTCTTCAATGTAAATAACATTACTATAGGAGTAGTTGCCTGATTAAGCGACTGACTCCGAACTAGTTGCATTTACGATTTAACAATTACTTGAATAGTGACGAGTACGTCACTATTACACACACATATCTAAAGGACGGCTTTTTTCAGTACCAATCTAGTGGAAAAGTGAGTCAATTCATTATTTCTGCAAAATGTAAATACTTGGAAATATTATCCAATATACGAGGAAGACTTTTTTGATTCATACCTAATTATACTGGTTTCTAGAAAAAAGTAATCAGCCACACAGTATTGTTTGACCTTTGGCCATAATTACTTTATGTTTCATACTAAAAATGATGTTCAGATTAATCAGT